AAAGAGGGGGGGAGAGGGGGGGGGAGGCACAGTGCCAGGCCTAGACACAGAGGACATCAGTCTAGCCTAATCTGCTTCTTTTCACCTCCGTCAACCTTCAAGCTAATAGCTCCCTGAATCGCTGGCTAACAAACACACACTGCTTCCATGTGTTGGGTTATCATTTGCAGACCAGCTGAATGGGAGCACTGCTCTCCCACGAAGCCCTACAAAACACACTGTGGTCTTTGAAGGATAGAACCCACATTCTACTCAGATGGTCATTTCCCCCAGAAAAGGTGTCAGCTCTGTACTCTGCAGCTCTCTGGGTCCGTGGGGCTGTCTCCTCTAAGGCCCTTGCCTCCAAGCTCTGGGGGGAAAAATGGACCAAAGTGTAGACAGGCCAGACAAGACACCTCACATCCTGCTCCCATGAGGGCTCCAAGAAAGGAGAAAGAGGTCCTTCAGAATCGGGAGAGAATGGAGATGTGTACTTGGCCTGGGGGTGGACTGTGGGGGCTCAAAGCCACTTCCACTCCTGCACTCCTCCTCATTTGAAAGCTTATACATTCAAGCCATGATACCAGCAACTCACTTTGAATAAAAAACAAAATTTATGTGAATTAATTTGTTCTGCAAATGATTTGTGGAGATAGCTTCTGGAAGGCGTGATATATTTTCTAAACATTTCTACCAAAAAAGAATATTGCTGACAAGAATGGAGCAATTGGAAACGAAACAAAACAAAAATCATGCAAAAATGCCTTTAGCATTATTTTTCATGTATTATTAGTCTTTAAGGATAAGATATTTGGTTGTCAGTCGTAACCTTGGAAACTCGCCTAACCAACTTCTAAATGAAAAAGATGATCTAGTTGGCAAAGTTCACTACTCAACTGCCAAATACCCCAGCTAAATGCTATTATACAGGTTCATTTTGCAAAATAAATTGAATTTCTTGTAGAGAAACTTGAAATTTATAAAAGAACCCTGGAGAATTTGAATTTTAATAATCAATTATTCTTCAGCCTGATTCATCTTATAAACATATGGAATATGCAAAAAATTAAATTAGTTTAAAAAGCCAGACCTTTAACACATAGTTGAAGAAAACTTTCACATAAATGAAGAATAATTGCCAAATGTTCTGATGCTGCAATACAATTTTTTTTTTTTTAGCTCCATGGCATGTAATGTACTTGTACTTGGGAACAGAAAATAATTCCTCTCTCTAGCATCATTCTTTTCTAAACAAGAAAACAACCCATCTTCTCTCTTTTATTGTCTCACTCACAAGCAAAGCTTATGACTTTTTAAATCCTTATGTACAATTTCTTCCTAAAATGCTAGAATGAGGCCGGAGCGATGCATTTCCATGATGCAAACAGAAAGGGTCATGTCACCCAGCATCACTCACACAGGATATGGAGGAGCTAAAGACCAGCAGCTCATGACAACCTCTTCCTGAGCCACAGGAAGTAATGCAAGGACTGGCTGGGCATCTGGCCCAAGGGCAGCAAAAGCCAGCACTGGTTCATCAACCACTAGTTTGCAAGCAAGCTCCAGGAGTGAGCAGAAAATCCCAATGGCAAAATCATGTAACAGTGAGTACAGAATCTCACACATCCCAGGATATCACACTGAACTATTAAAGCAGAGCCGGCCATGGTGGTGCATACCTGAATCCCAGTACTCAGGAGGCTGAGGCAGGAGGACTGCCACAAGTTTGAGGCCAGACTGGACTAGTGAGTTCAAGGCCAGCCTGAACTACTGAGAGACCCTATCTCAAAAGTAAACAAAACAATCCAAAAAACCCTATAAATGTAGAAGACATGTATCTATAGTATTCCCTTCATAGTATATCTTTAATTGACATGAACACACACACTCTATACCAGTCATGGCAAACCTATGGCACACATACTGCAGTAGGCTGTTTGTATCGGTGAAAGCTCTAAAGGTTCACCATCATGGCTCTATACCTTTCTCAGACTGCTGTAAACATCCTGCCATTATCTGCATTCTTCACAGTGACTTTTCTTTGCTTACAAACCTACTTTAGTCTTCTCCTAGTTGATAAAACAGACACACGGGTCTATTAAGACTTTTTCATTGTCCTAAAATTATCTCACATACCATAGTAGGTTCCTTACTTTGAGAAAGAAGGCCCATGATCCAAGCAGGCTCAAGGACTTTCCCGTCAGCCTTAGCATCTTACCAGCAGAGCCCGGGCCAGCTGCCTCAGCTATGCCCACATCACCCTGATTTCTTAAGTCTCACCATCCTTTTTGTTGTTTTGGTACTGGGGATCAAACTCAGGATCATGCGCTTGCAAGGTAGGCAGCAGCACCACTGAGCTACATCCCTGGCCCAGAACCTCACCTTAAAACAACTGGTACTCCCCTAACAGTTCAGGGCTGCACAGTGAGCGTTCTCTGATCTAGGCCGAGTCACTGGCTACCTTGTTAGAAGAAATATGCTGGCCAAACATGAATGCACAAGATACTTCAAACCACGCATAAGGCAACAGACAGGACAGGCTCAACAGGTGCTGACAGTCGTTCCCTGAACAGACTTACACTCATGGCTTCTGCTCTGTATTTATCGTCTCTCTCGGGGGCGGACAGTTCCAGCAGAATCGAACATACTTTGTTTTCAATATCACTCTGGAAAATTAGATCTTGTTCCAGAAGAATCAACAGCACTTCCTGACTGGATTTTCTAACCTAGAGGAGGAAAAAAAAAGGCAAAAGTGAAACACAAAATGAGAAGAGCTCTCAGGATCAAGACTGAACCTTCCCTGAATTTTGGTCTTCCTGCCCTTTGGCTTCCTCCTCCTGAGGCCCCTGAGGCCTAAGTAAAGCTATCACTACCTTGCTCTCAGCCCAAAGCCCCTGTCATCCCTGAACCCTATTACAAGCCAGGTCCTCAATTTATACTCAGAAGATTGCCCTACATTTTTTCTCCATAGCTCTTATTCCAGACTTCTGCATACATGTACAAATATACACACATAAATTATTTGCCTATGTGATTCACTGTCTCCCCCAGTGCAGAGCATGAACTCAGAGGGCAGGTAGCATGTCTGATTTGTCCTTTGTCCTTCAGCATACCCTTAGGACCTGGCAGCATGAAGCACACAGTTTTTCTACCTATTAGGATTTGGGGAACGAATGGATGACATGACAATGTGCCTTCTCTCCTCCACAGAGGCAGGACTGAAAAATACAGCACCCTCCTCCTGCTCCTTGTAAACCTGAGCCTGCATGCCTGGGCATGAATTGTAACTGCTGCAGGGAAGGGGCTCAAGGAAGACACTGTTACAGACAGGAAGGCTGCTTGGCTAACAGAAGATGAGGGCATAGGAACACATCCTTTGCCGCTGCCATGGAGTAGGCAAGCACCAAAACTCAGAGACATCCAAAGAAACTAGAGACTGTTTTTAGGAAAAAGAAAGCACCTATTATTCCCATTTGCAGAAAAAGTAATAATATACCCAATCTATCACTATGATGTGAAGGGAAAAAAGTAGTAACAGGCCCCAAAGTATAAAAACAAAGTCACGGGTGATCATTTGATAGCAGGTTATGAGAGGGCAAGCCAGGGACACTGTTGCCACGGAAGCAATGCAACACTGACACTTCCAAAAAGAGACAAAGGAAAACAGGGTTTCAGAAAGATCACTCTGACAGCAGTGCTCTGACAGAACTGGAGGCCAAGCAATGAAAGACAAAGGTCAGCAAGGCAGAGACTACAACTATCCAGGTGGGAAGGATGGGACTCAGGCTGGCAGCCAGATGAGGAAAGGTGGTACCCAGCACTATTAACCAGCACAGGAGATGGGATGGGGATCCAAACAGAGGAAAGCAAACATCCACAATGACTTTGAGGTGTCAAACCCTGATTGAGCATCTGACATGTGTCAAGAGCTGAGAACACAAGAGGCCCATAGATAAGGAGAGATAAACCCACCCCTGCCTCGCTGCAGAACACTCTGCTCCCTCACTGATGTTCTACGAACACACAGACGGAGCAGGGATGAGGAGGGGTTGTGCCACGGAGGGAAGGGCAGGTCCTAAACAATGGACACGAAACCAGAGGTCAAAAGACAGGAACCTGCCAAGAACAGTGATGACTCCCCAGAAGACATGTCCAGGTCAAATCCCCAGGGTCTATGGATAGGACTGTTACAGTCTGGACTTGGAATCCTCAAAGTCCTGTGTGTGTGTGGCTTGGTCTCTAGCCTGTGTCACTATCAGGTGATAGTGTGAGACCTAGAGGGAAGATATTACATCACTGGGGATGTGCCCTAGAAAGAACTCCAGGCACACAAGTCTCTCTTTGTCCCTTTTTGCTGACTGCTACAAGGTCCGCAATTTTGTTGCACCACAGGCTCCCATCACAAATGTTCTGCCTCTCTACAGACCCCAAATCAACAAAGCCAACCAATCATGGACTGAAACTTCTGAAACTATGAGCCAAAATAAACCTTTCCTCCTTGAAAGATTATCTCAGGTATTTTGTCACAGAGACAGGTGACTCAGTGGCCTTCTTTGGAAAAGGGTCGTTGCTGATGTGATTAAAGTAAGGATTCTGAGGTCACCCAAGATTAGCCGGGCAGGCCCTGGATGCCATCACAAATGTCCTCAAGAGTGAAAAATGAGAAGAAAACACTAAAAGAGAAGGCTACTGATGTCACAGGGTTGTTGTAGGAATAAAGGACACAAAGGGCTAAGGACAAGACCTAGACACAGGATGTCAAAATGAATGTCGGCTATCACTGTCACTAAAGTCATTCTCACCAGAGGCTAAGAGGGAGCATTTCAAGGGCCTCAGCACAGGGACCCGGGTGGACTGCAGGTCTTATCTGGTCACCTCTTCCTCCCATTGCCTGGGGTAGAGCAATGTGACCCTCTTGACAGGCACCTACCTGGTAACTTTCTTCAACAGTGACAAATGGAGCAAATGCACAAAGCAAAGAAAAAGGAGAAGTCACTATACAGATAAATGAATTGTGGGGGAAATATAAATGCTCTGCCATAAAACATTGAAAATGAATGACCAAGAGTTATCTCGATCAATGTGATGGATCTAAAATGGAGAAGAACAAAGCAACGGCAGACAGGAGGTACACTGACACCGTTTAAGGTGTTAAAAGCATCCAAAATGAGATAAGATCTTCCTCAAGGCCACCATCACAAGCTGGATGACTATGAAAACCTAGAGCACAGGATGGCAGTTTCCTGTGGAAGGAGAAGGATGCAGAGCACTTGTAACCACAGCTGCAATCCCTAAATCAAAATCAAAAGGTATCAAGAAAAACTGTAAAATATGAACATTAGTTGAATATTAGTGGTAACATATATGAGTGCTCATTACACAATCTTCTCTTCTATGATTAAATATTTCAAGGTATTTTAAAATTTGAAATTAATTTTTTAAAAAACAAAAGCACTGGATTTTCCAGGGAGTGGCACAGTCAAGACCACGCCAGATGCCTATCAGGAGCCGCGGCTGCACATGGGATCTGACCATGGAATGTCAGGGGAGGGGTCTCAGACAGGGTGAACAGCACCTGGGCTAAGGCTGTGGCAGAGCCTCCTCCAAGAAGCTGGGTAGGGAATGGAGGTGGTGGCACATCCTGGATCAAGGCCTGGGAACACAGAAAGAGGGAGATGGAGGCAAGCTCAAAATGGAAACAGATGGGCCAGTGAGATGGCTGGAAAACAATCAAGAAAGACAGGGCAAGAGAGTGAAAGTGAAAACATTCAACATGCAATGGCACTTGACTGAGCAGAGGGCAAGAGCTCAGACTGCTGAGGAAGGGCGGCCAGGGGAAATGGAGAGTTTACTGCTGATCCAGATCAGCAAATGCTCACTAAGATGCCACCAGACACCAGACCCTTTCCTAAATCACAGAGGTCAAGAAAATAAGACCTGAGCTTGTAGTCAGGTGCTCACATTTGAGAACAGGAGCAAAGCTTATGATTATAATGTACAGAAGAGCCTCCAGAATCCCAAAACAGACAATAGTTGAGCCTCAGAAACCAGAACATCCAGCAAGTTCCCTCTATAGTCAGCCACTGCCCAACACCCACACCCCCACTACCCTGCACCCGTTTCCTCCTCACTTCTGAGGAATGAATTAACAAGTGTCATTCACCATATTGCCCAGGGTGGCAAGAAGAGTAAAGGACACCATTCACACCAGTTCCGGAGGAAAGTATCCATCACCCAACGACAACTCAAGTAATTATGGCTGTGAGTGGTGGCAGCAGTCCTCACAAGAATATGCATATTGGGCTGGGCACAAGGTCCTGAGTCTGATCCTCAGCACCAAAAAAAAATTATGGGTATCACTCCTAGTGCTTCCACTGGATCTCCTCACTTGAGTGAATGATGTTCAGCAGTCATGAAAAATACCTGCTGATGAACAGGCTAGCCTGAGAGCAGCTGCCAGGCAGAGCAGGCAAACCCACCATCATAAGCAAACCACTCATAGCTCTGCCACACTAGCAATATAACTCCCTGGGGACTTCTGTACACTGTTAGTGGCCCACACTGTGGATGTCTTCAAAGGCTGGCATCCACTAATGTGAAGACTGACAGGAGGAGAGAGGAAGGGCCTTGGGATAACGGGCAGGTCAAAATGAGCAGATCCCAGCAGGGCTGAGGGAAGGTCGGAGACAGGCAGCACAGAAGGGAGTCTGGGCAGTGCCTCTGGCATTGACAGGTTTGAGGACTGGCTAAGCAAGGCTGACTTCCTCATACTCCCAGGTTTAAAAACAGTAGGACTAGAAAGGAAGGGGTATCCTCAAGGTTATGTTTCTATGATAGAAACAAAGGAACCATGGCTTGGATGTCACTGGATAGAAGAAGTAAGAAGGCAGAGATTTTGATGATTCTAAGGTTGCAGCTCAAGGGAACTGAATAAAGCATATGGTAGTTCCATTCACTGCAATAGGGGATGAAGATTGAAGGCCTCTATTTTTTTCATGATATAAAAGGCAAGGTCACCTGCTTGGTGCAAGACAGAGCAAGGTGACAGGGCCTGATGAAAGTGGCAAAGGTCTAAGAGAGCTGCCAAGGATAATATGAAAAGCAGCTGATGAGGTAGAAAGAAAAGGATTGTCAAGCAACACTGCAAGTCCAACTGCGTTTGGAACCAATAAGTTTGCAATGGCACCAATCAATGCACGATGGGACTCCCAACCACCAAGCTTAGCAGCCAAGAGTGGACAATGGGACTGGGGTTGGCAGAGGGGCAAAACAACAGAGGTGATGGTGGGGATGGGCCTGAGAAGGTGGGATAAAAGACCAGCTGAGGAAAAACAGGAAGTAAAGGAAGTGAACAATGGGGTTAAGAAGCCAGGGGCCTCCAGGGGCTGGAAGACCAGGGTAGTGGGAGAGAGGAAGGAAGGCAAGTCAGAGAGGAGAACGCCAGCTCTGGTAACTCAGAGGCACAGCGGCTCTGGACCAGGGGGTGGGGGGGGTGACAGGCACAAGGGGCAGAAGGGTGAAGGCTGCAGTGGAGAAGCAGGCTAAGCACCTCTTCCGAACACAAAGCAGGTGTCAGGCACCAAACAAGATCCCAGAATCGAACCACACTTTCTGTTCTACCCTTCCAGAATAAAGTATGTGACAATGACAGATGACAAAGATCAAGGCCATGTCAGTCTCCTAACCCAGTATAATCTCATTTTCAAGAATGTATCTGAAGGAAAAAGAAAATTCAACAGACGAACAAAACTGCATCCTTTACAATGTTCACTGTTATCTACAGTACAAAAAAAGCTGAAAAAAATCTAAGCATCCAATACAACTAAGAAGATGAAGATTATGAAGAAACAGAGGAAAATGTCTATGCCCCAGAGATGAACTTTCAGAGGTCAGAAAATCTCATCTCTTTATTCCCAGGGACAAAGCATGAGCTTTGCTCCTAATGGGCACTCAGAAACTGTCACAGTGAATGAATGAATGGAAAAAATTGCATGCAAGCACCTAGAAAGGAGAATTGTAAAAATAATCAAAACACTCATGTTAGCAGAGTGGAAATAAGATGACTTTTTCCTTATTTGAAAATTCCATTTAATCCTGTCACACTGTTTAACAATTAAAAATGAGTGCCTGCTCCTTAAAAAAAAAAGAAAAAAAAAAGAAACCACTGGATCAAGGAAGAAATATAAACCAAAATTTTAATTTCTTGAAAATAATGAAAACATGGCATATCATTAAAAATTAAGTACATTTACCCTTTGTTGAAAGCCATCCTCAAAATACAGTGGCACAAAGAGAAATCATGCAAGGCTATTCTTTGTAGAAATTTTACAGGAGGAAGATTAGAAGTAACACCAATGTTAACAAGCTATGCTCTCTCCCCTCACGGGTAAAGGGGTCAAAACAAAGCTCCCAGATGGCTGTGGCCTGGAGTCCCAGGTACATCTGACAGGGGAAAGCAGGGTAGAACAACAGAAGGGGTGTGGAATCATGCACCTAAGAAAGGACAGGGCTATAAAGCATGAGTTTACCTTTCTGGAATGGTAAGATGAGAATAAGCCAAAACCTAAAAGAAATGGTTACCTACAGAGGTAACAGAGAACAGAGAGGACACAACAGGTTAGAGGGATAGGAGATATTTTTTAGAGTTTTAATTTGGGAATTAAGTAAACATTTAAAATAACTATAAATCAAAATATAAAACCTAAAGCTATTATTCAAAATAAACAATCTTAAAAATAAAGTGGAATGTGCATGTAGTCCCAGCTACTCAGACTGCTGAAGCAGGAGTAGCCTCACTTGATCTCAGGAGTTCAAGGCCAGCCTGGGCAACACAGACATTGTTTCACAAAAAAAAAAAGAGAAGAAAACACAAACACACACACACACACACACACACACACACAATAATAAACAAGTGGACATAATTCTGAATGAAGCTGGTGACAACTGCAAAGAGAAGGTTAATGCAAGTGACTTTAAGCTTTTAAGCACAGGTAACATGAATATGACTGTGTCTCTAGTGGAAGTAGAAAAAAAGAACTCCAAAGAAATCTTAAACTATATTCAGTAATTCTATCACATTGTTAATAATAACTACTAGCATTTTTATTTTGAATACACACATGTTCATGTCATTAAGCAAGATTGCCACCTGCCTGCGACCTGCCTGCCACCTGCCTCGCAAGTGCAAGGACCCGAGTTCAATCCCCAGTACCAAAAAAAAAAAAAGAAAAAGAAATTGCTCCGTCACTAGAAGCAATGCTCACTGTTACACCTGTGAGCACCTCCAGTACCTATATTCTGCTTTCCTACAATTTTCCCTACACAGGAACCTGAGCTCCTTGGAGAAATGGTCAACTCTGGGTAGAGGTGCATTATCCAGGTCCACTGAGTCTTGTCAGAAAGATTCTGGACCCAATTTGAAGGGCTCCCTTTGGTCAACACTGGGGCAATTTGATCATCAAAAAGAACAATGCCCACAACAGACTGAAATATAGCAAATATGTTAAAGTTCTGAAGTTCATAATGCTGAAAACAAACATAGCTTTGTTTTTTCGTACCGGGGATCAAACTCTGGACCTTGCAAGACAGTCATGGTGCCACTGCCTGCCCTGCAAGTGCAAGGTCCCAAGTTTGGTCCCCAGTACCAAATAAATAAATAAATAAATCCTAATAGGTAACTTTTGCAGATTATTAGGATACCAACTAATTATGTGATAAACTGTTTAAAATGGGGGGGGGGATAAAGCATCCTCTTTTCTATATGGATAAATTTTCAAGATTACCAAGTAGTTGACAGGAAAAGTTCTCTAAAGAAGAATTCTAGCCATTAAACTAAGAAAGAATGATAGAATTAGAGCATCAGAACTGTACAGCCTCTAGTGAAATAGGAGGTCTTGGAAGTGGCCTAGGGGAGCTTTATATGGAAGTGAGGCTGCACCAGCAACCAACACAACATCAGAAAAAGAACCACCCAGAGCCTTCACGCTTCTTGCACTGATACAAGAAAACTTCAGCCCCAATAACAATGTTTTGTTTTTGTTTTGGTACTGGGGATCAAACCTGGGTCCTTGCACTTGCGAGGATAACAATGTATTTTTGCTAAAAACAGAAAATCTGAGTGTGATGGAGCCTCTAGACTTAACTACCAGTACAGAAAATACTTGGGTACAGGGAGGGGAGGGGAGGGACAGTACTTGACTTGGAAAACAGGAACATCTAAACATTAGACACACAACCACTCAGATAAAAAATGTGACCAGACCAACAGCCTGGTTTCCTCAACAAGTTAACAGACAAGAAAGGGGACAGACAGTGGTCACAAACTTAAGAAATTTACAAAATACACACATTATTCCAATTCAACCTGTGGATTTCCCTTGTATTCTGATTTAAACAGAACATCTGCAGGAAATACATTTATGAGAAAACTGGAACAATGTGACCAATGACTAGTGATAATAGCATTATCATTATGTTTTTAAAAACAAGTCTTTATTTCTTAGCCATACTAAAGTATTTTCAATGAAAGTGACAGGGTATCTAGGAATAGCTTTTATCTGTGTTAGACTTTAGCTAGGTAAGATTAAAAACCACTGATCAAATGTTAATGATCACTGAAATGATGAAGGGTATATGAATATTATCTCTACTGCTATGCGCGTTAGAAATTTTCCATGATAAAAGATTAAAGAAAACAAGAAATCTACCATCCCTAAGAATCAGCACTGCCTATCTACCGGCATGATGAGAGGAGCTGGGCACAAACAGACCTTTTGTCCCTGAACCAACTAAGTCTGAGAAGCATTTTCTGACTTAAGAATATCAACTAAATTAAGACTGAAGGAAATTTGCTAAAGATATCTTTTTCCTTTTTCCCAGTACTAAGGACTGAACCCAGAGCTTCATGCATTCTAAGCAAGTAAGTATAGAGATCTTAAGGTGACAATTTTCAAACCTGATTGTCTGGGTCTGCAAGGTCCCTCACTACCACAGGCATGAGATATTCAGAAAACACCACTGGAAAATCTTGTCTGTTTTCTCGTAAAAAAATGGCAATGGGAGGAATCTGTTCCAACAGCTCAGTCCTCACTGTGGGCTCTACGGCAACAGAAAATAGAGAAAGAATTATATTAAGAATAAGCCAAGCATCTTATATAGTGTACACTGATAGTTTCTAGCTTTTCTTACTAAAATACTTCATCAAGGAAATTAGACAAATGCAGTTTAAAAAATCATTTCCTATTTAGAGTATTTATGCTATAGACAGGCTTAAAAAGTTAATAAGCTATATAGCAATATAAAAACATAAAAAGAAGAGAGAATGACAACTCCATTACAACAAGCTATATATAAATCAAGGAAGGAGCAAGAAGTCTGCATGCTGGGCCAGCATCCAAAAGCTATTACAACTAATGGCTTATATGCGAGATCTATGGATTGTGCTTATTTAAATTCCAGCCAGAATGTATACATTATAAATAATTCTTTCATAAATGCACTCCCCTATAATCCACACATCCCAATTATTTCTAAGGCAAAGCATTAAACAAAAGAGCGGCTCTAGCTCCAATATATCACATTAAATTTAACACAAATATATAATTGCTGCAGCACTGTAAATGGTGATTCATTTACAAAGAGAATCCATTTAAAGACTCAAAACATCCACTTGGGTCTTTTTAAAAGCATTGTGTAGGATTCATGTGAATATTTTAAACTAATACAGGAGCTATATGGAAGGCTTATTCTTCTGTTTTCAGTTAAAATGATCAAACCCTAAGGCCTAAGATCTCCAAAACTATCTGATGCATCTCGAAATTTGTTATGAGTCCAGGCAAGCGGAACCCACCACTCATTCATCTTACAGTCGCTACTGTGTGTGGCGGGGGTGGGCAGGCAGACAATGCCATAGTGTTTGTTGTACAGCAATGTGCTTTTCTCCCAGAACAGCAATCATGGAGAGGTAGAAAGAGAAAGAAAAATCAAGATTAGCCCACAGAGATCATAGGTGAGAGAAACTAATGACTGGGATTGTTCTAATCCAAAACACCTCTTCTGATTGGGTATTTCTTAGCAACCAATAGTCTCGCAAAACTCAAGAAATACAAAAGGCCTAACTGCCAGGGCAAATAGCATTCATAGCCATTAGTCATTCTAATTTTCTTTTTTAAAAAAAGGACAATTTGAGTCATTTTAAAATAAGATGCCCATTCTTCATAACAAAATCCACTGATGTTCTGATACTGCTTAAAGTTGGTAGATTAATAAACAAGTTTTTTAAATTTCACTGCAACTGATTACATTTAATTTCTCAGAAATGTACAAGTAAAAAATAAAATTATACAAACCTGCATCTTCTGACAATCTGACTGCAATCTCCATTATTGTTAAGAAGTCTTCTTCATTGTTACTGAAGTCCCGGAAGATATCAAGCAGCCCTCTGGCAATAATCTGACTATGGAAACAAAAAATGATCCATACAGTTATTTGGGTGACACTAACTAAAGGATGCTAAGTTCCAGGAACTGTTCTAAGAGCAGATACTTAGAGCAAAGGAGAGTCACAACCTCAGTCCAGGAGGACAGGGACCGTCAAGGACCATCCAAAGATCATCATTCCCATGTGGATCACAATCCCGTAGGGCCTGAGAGCCCATATCCTCCAGTCTGGCAGTCATTAGAATGTGGAATGGTCTTATTGAGATAAGGGAAGACCATTTCTCTGCTTTGCTAACTAATTTTTCAGGCCCAGACAGACTTAAGAAAAGCCTTTGACAATAGGAATGAATTAAGGAAAGGGAAAAGGTCCAGAGAGGCATCTAGTGGCCCTCTCAATGACTGAGGAATGAAGAAGTACATGTTATAGGAGTCTGATTAATTTTTAAAATTCAAATATTTCCCCATTTAGTATTTCCTCTTTCTCAACTTTCTGTGCTGATTAAACACAAAAACCATAAAAGGAGAAGGACCTCCAATGCTCAATTTGAGGGAGTTAGTAAAGCCACAGGCAGGCTCTGCAGAGAGAACCTAAGGCTAAGGGACACAGCTAGTGTCTGAGGCCCCACAGCTTTAACTACACCCAGGAAGGCAGAGAGTCAGCCTGCAGCTGAAGACCAAAGGTCACATTAGGGTGGTTCCCCAACACAGGGCACACAGCTGAGGAAATCCAGAGGTGGCTCTGACCAGTAGGGGATACAGTATGATGGAACCAAGTTACAGAACCAAGTAACCATACTGCATAAGCATGGACTGAGCCACCTACCAATAGCTCTGTTAAGTGTAAAAGTTCTAAACTTTCCAATTAAAATAAAAAGATTGACACACTGTATACAACAAAGCCTAACTAGATATAACTTTTAAGAAACACACCTTTGGGGGTGTACTGGGGATCAAACTCAGGACCTTTCGCTTTCAAGGCAGGCAGAGGAACAACTGAACTAAAACCCCAGACCCAAGAAACACACTTTAAACATAAAGATACAAATAAATTAAAGACAAAAGGATGAAGCCAAGCACAGCAGTACACAAATGTAATCCCAGCACTCAGAGAGTGCGGTGGGAGGGTGTCAAGTTCGAAGCTATCCTGGGCTACATGCTGCATCTGAGGACAGTCTGGACTATTCAGTAAGTCAGTGTGGTATCCTAGATGGTATTCTGGAATAGAAAAAAAGAACAATGGAAAGACAAAGTTCAAGTAAAATCTGTAGTTTTATTACTAGCGTTGGACCAACGCCAATGTTAATTTGTTAGTTTTGAGAAATACAATGTTTATATCTGAGATAAACATGACAGCAGGGTTTCTTGCTTTTGACATGACAGCTGTTTCGGAGCAGGTAACTGCTGGGGGAATGTCCTGAGCAGGAAAAGGTATCTAGTGGCCTCCTGACCTCTACCTGCCAGGGTCAGTAGCATCCCCTCTCCCCAGTGATGTGACAACCAAAAAACTTTACTTTGACAAGTGACACTGCCAGCGGTCTCGTGGGGGCAAATCACACCTGGGTGAGAGTCAGTGCATTAGTAGAAGTTGGGCAGAAGGTATAAAGGAATTCTTACCACCATTACAGCCCTTCTATAAGTTATCTCAAAATAAAAAGCTTAAAGACAAAACAAAATGAAGCTACAGTGAGATAATACCAAGCCACTAGAAGAACTAAAATTATAATGACAACACCAACTAGGAACAAAATGAACCCACAGACATTGTTGGTAGGCACACAAAATAGTACAGCTGATTTGGAAAAGAGTCTGGCAGTTTCTCAGAAAGCTAAATATATGCTTACCATTCAACCCACCAATTTCACCCTTAGGTGTTTACTCAAATGAAGTGAAAACATGTCCACACAAAGAAGCAGGAGAATGTTCATATATAACCATTATTCAAAACAGCCCTCAACTGGTGAATGCCTAACAAAATACAGAACATTCATACATTGGAATACTTGAAATAAAAAAGAACAAATTATTGATAACAAGAGGAATAAATTTCTAATGCATTTTGCTAAGGGAAAGAAGCCAGGTACCTTAAGACAACATGCCATATGACTCCTTTAAATTAAATTCTAGAAAAGTAAAACCTTCTGAAAAAATGAAGAACCATGTCAGTGGTTACCTGAGCCCATGGCAATAGCTGAGGGAGGGACTGACGGCAAGGCAGGAAACAAGAGAAGCTGCTGGGTGATAAAAATGTTCAAAATGGATTATGGGAATGGAATGGAATGACTGTATACAATTACACAAACTCATCTAACTGGATGTCTACAGTGGGTGAATTTTATGTTTCATAAACTATGATTCAATAAAGTCATTTTAAGCAAAGACAAGGTGATCAAAGTCAGGATGATCAGCAGTAGTTTTGGTGGCCTGCAGGTCTCAGTGTGCAAGAAGAGGAACTAGAGCTCCTGCAAACATCCTCTAAGGAAGTGGAAACTGGCCCATGCCTCTGCCTGCTTCTGTATGCTCCCCTAAGCAAATGACATGCCAGGACCCATTTACATCACTCCTGGCCATGCATGTGTCAAAAAACTAGTTGAAGTCAATAACCCACCTTGATTTGCAGGAAAAGAAGACTAGAAATACAGAGTTCAAAGAGGCAGTCCTCTGGCACAGTGTATTACAGGGAGAAATCCATCAACTCAAGCCTATCCACAGAGAGATGTACACTACCCTGGGAATGGAAATTCGAGATCTGGCAGCCAGGAGGCTTGGGGAAGTCAAAAGAGACTATAGAGAAAGTCACTGATTACAATTCACTGGACCACATTCAGTGGGCCTCCCCTGGGAAATCAAGCAACTAAGATCCCCAGTATGCTTCTAAGGCCATAGAATGGATAGACAAATCTGCATCTAGCTTTAAGGGGTCAAAAGGGACCTGACCCCTTAAGGAAAGAAACGAAAGGGATAAGTAAGGTGCCCTGAAGCAGGAACAATCCACTGTATTGAATACAGTGCTAAAAACAAACAAATTAGTTCTTTGAAAACAATACTCTGGAAAATCTGGTGCTTTAAACTGGCATGTCCAGGAGAGACTACAGTGGACAAGCAGAATCCAAAAGCATCCGTCTCAATACTTTTCACTGTTAGCTATGTTAATAAGATAAAAAGGCCCGCCAGAGAGACTGCCTCATAGAGTGTCCTGAGAACCCTGTGAAACAGTGCACAGGAAGCTTCTAACATAGTACCTGGCACATCACAAGCCCACCAGAATTTCAGCCACAATGTACAACATAAGCAGAGAACTGCAAACAACTTGGTGTCCGCTGGCAGAGGAAAGCTTAAAGAAATTATAACACATCTATACCTTTAGCATATTTTGCAACCATTTTTAAAGGTACCCTATTTATGTAGTCTAAAAATATCTCTGATAGGGCTCAGTGGCTCTGCCACCTGCCTAGCAAGCACAAGGTCCCGAGTTCAATCCCCGGTACAAAAAAAAAAAGTCTATGATAAACAAAAAACCAAGACGAAGAATTTTACATATAGAATGAGCCATTTCTTAATACAAATCATATTTAGGAATGTATGTGCAATATACGTATACACATTCGTGTGTGTGTGTGTGTGTGTGTGTGTGTGTGTGTGTGTATGTGTGTATATATTTAGGAAAAACCAAGTATACACAGCAAATTGTTCTATGATAAACAAAAAACCAAGACGAAGAATTTTACATATAGAATGAGCCATTTCTTAATACAAATCATATTTAGGAATGTATGTGCAATATACGTATACACATTCGTGTGTGTGTGTGTGTGTGTGTGTGTGTGTGTGTGTGTATGTATGTATATATTTAGGAAAAACCAAGTATACACAGCAAATTGTTCAGTTTGAGTGGGAGAGAAAGGGAAACTCTCCACTTAAACTCCCGAAACTAAGTGTTTCAATATGCATGCATTATTTTTGCAAGTATTTTTTAACAGAAAGAGGATGGAGCCAGGTGTGGTGTTATATGGCTAAAATTTCAGCATACAAGAGGCTGAAGAAGGAAGACCTCCTTGAGTTCAAGGCCAGCCTCCGCTACATAGTGGGTTCAAGGCCAGCCTGAACTACCTAGGAAAATCCTCTCTCAAACAAAACAAGAGGATAGCGATAGCTCAATTTTGTATGACAAAGTGATGTTCCCTAGAAATGTAACCAGGGAAATAGCCCTGCATTTTCCCTGCACCCACTCTCTCAGCAACAAGCACGCATTGAGCTTAACTAGCCCTAGTCTCAGCATGAGAAGCCCAGCCAAGCTGAGGCCCTTCCCACAGGTCCCTACAGGGTCAGGCCCAGAAGTAGGCAAGAACATCCACAATGACTTACAGTGACAGGATCAGAAAGTGACTGCAGGGTACTCCAGAAACAGAGAACTTTAACTCGTCCAGAAGATGGGGTAGGCAGCAGATGTGCAGGAGGAACACTTCAGAATCAGAATCAGAAGATGCAGTCTTGGAGTAAGTCTGACCCATATAATAAAGGTCTATGGGGAGAACTGGACAGGCTGGGACAGTGACGGATACAGAACTCTGTACTTTTCACCCAATTTTTCTGTGAATCTACATTGTTCTTCTAAATCAAGAATAATTTTAAAAAATGAAAGTGAAAAGCAGAAAATTCCTGGACAACAGTCTTATACTAGCAAGAATTGTTAAAGGAGGTCTTGAGGCAAAAGAATACCTGCTGGAAGTGGGCAATTCACAAAAATTAATAAAATGCCTAAGTATTATGGCAAATATAAAATATACTTTTCTCATTTTTAATTGCTTTAAAGGGCTGCTGACTATCCAAAACAAATAACGGTATCGAGTTACTGTGGGGTTTATAATGTGTAAAAGTTAAATGTTAAGAAAACAGCACAAAAGCTGGGGAAGAAAAAAGAAAGCAGATTATTGTAAAGTTCTGAAACTACATTTTTGCACTATACACAAAGTGGCATAATTTCATTTAATATATGTTGTGATAAATGAAATAAATATAT